TGTAGCTGTTTAGGATTATTTCATGAATATTACACCGTGATAATCACTAGCCTATGTCTGAAATTTTGGTCCATTAATCAGACATAATTATGAACTCAAATAATCACATTAGTTTACTTGTGAAAAAATAAATCCGGACCATTTTTCCGCCGGACACGAGTTAAACCTGTATTAGTGGCCACGTCTATATAAAAACACATACGTCACCTATATTGCCTCTCCTTAGAAGGGAAAGTAGAACCCGTCTATAGTAGCCATTCGTGTTTCCCTTGGATGGCATTAAAGGAATCGTTTAACAATGTTAGATCTGAGATGCATGGCCCTACGCGCGTGCTACCAGTGTCTGTGATTATGGTGTAATATTGAAGCCCTAATAAAAGATCGCGCTTCAAAATGATCAAGAAGTGCCTCAAAAAAGTAAAAAATCTTTGAGTGACCGGTTTTACCATACTCGTTCTTTCCCAATAGACTGCAGTGTTATGAAAATCGTTTGGCAAACGCAAAATTTGGTTTCGATTTCCAATCATGAATATCTTGATAATCAGACAGGCGATCGGCTTGTAAAATTCATGGAGTTCCTGACCAGGCGCGGATCCAGGATTTCTCAGGGGAAGGGGCCCATTTTTTGAGGGGGGGGGGGGCATCCTCCCAAAAAGCTTAAAAATTACGTGTTTTTACACGTTTTTTTTCCCGGGGGGGGGGGGGCCGGGCCCCTCGCCCCCCCCTGGATCCGCCACTGTTTCTGACTGACCTAAAGGTTTATAATTATCATTTCAGCATGAGCTAAATCAAGGATTTTGTTTCAGAATCTGAGACAAAGTTACCGGATCCCTTTAATAGAATTATAGGGCTTCCATGTTTGACTGTAATATGTCGGAGTACCTGCTCAAGTTATACATTAGCTTTTCACTTTTCAGGGTTTGTCAAAAAGGGTTTCTCATTTTCCTAAGTGAACAGCAATGCCATGGAGATGTTGACACGGCATGCCAAAAAGGCTACTCGATGCGAGACAAGCTTATGCAAGACCGCGAAACTCTTTGCAAGGCGGCAAAAGCGTGGCAAAGATTTGATTAAGAATTAGTAAAGATGCAACACCCTCAACTAATTGCTTGGTCAACAGAAACTCTCCGGATCGCGGCGTTTTCTTTGCAGCTCATCTGAAGAAAAACGTTAGCGATAAGGTTGTTTAAATTCACCCACCTTTCCGTCCCTTATCGCCCGATAAAGCTTAGGAAATCGTTCTTAGAAAGTTTCTATTTTTATCAAAACTATTTGCAAGGTGTGAGTGGTGCTCTGGATCTGTTTGAACGCTGACGAGCTAAAACAATCACACTACAGCCATAGTAAAATTAGTATTGCATCGAATTACCGCACTTTGCAAGATGATAATTTCAAGATGATTGTCATTGGTTTCACGCATAATATGTACCAGACTTCAATGTAAAAATTGAATGGTTTTATGCAATGTTGTCGATTGGTGGGGGGGGGGGGGCAGGGGGGGGGGGGGTTAATGAGTATTGCGAGCAGGCGCGATAGCTCAGTTGGTAGAGCAGTGGTCTCGTAATCCGGTGACCCGGGTTCGAAACCTAGTCGATGCGTTAGTGCCCTTTGGTAAGGCCTTAATCCTCATCACCAGGTCCCTCGGAAAAGGACCTAAAACAGTCGGTCCTCTGGTTGTTTATTTAGCAGTCAGGTATACAAGCACACACTCTAACCTCGAGTTCTTATCTATTTTCAATACCATGGACTCGTGTGAACAGAAAATATTGATAAGCAAAATTGTGTTCGTTTTACATCGGTGTGTTGAAAGCATCTTTTCAATATATTTTTCTTTTTCCCCTCCAACATCATCATAAACATTGAGCAGCACAAATGATAAAATATTACTTTTGTATATTCTGAAACACAATATAAAAAACTTTGAAAAATCAACATAATAGTGCAAATTTAATAGCCTTGTGCATCATTGACAAATTACATAACCCGACGAGATTGCTTTAGACATAGTGGTATTGATTGAAATTGCTCTGCGGTTGATTTAATGACTGTCTTTGCGATTGTATTCCGGGTTAGATTTAAAATAGTCACATTATGTCCCCTTGAAACAACAAAAAATGTTTTTTTCTCACTATGATAAGGCCTACAAAAAAGATGGTGTATTGCCCTTTAGGTGCCAAAATATGGGTCGGTCGGCCGGAAATATTTTTATTACTTTTTTTTTCTTCGCCCTCTTTGGGGTGATATTTCTGCTGATCCGTTGCATGTAAGTCTTGATCGCTGATAAGAATTCTCCCCTCCAAATGCTTTAATACATAATAAACATTTTTTTCTTCTAAAAAACGGCAAATAATTTATATTTATTTAAAAGCCGACCGTAGATTTCAAGATTTTGGGGTCGGTCGCAAAGGATAATACAACATCGTTTTATGTACGCCTAATGTTGGAAGAGAATGCACTTTGAGTAATTTTGCTACAAACAAATTTCAGGTGGAAGAATAATCCAATGTAAGCAATCACACATCCTGACTGCATTGTCAGTGAAAGATAGATTCCCATAATCAAGGGGGGGGGGGGTCATTTGTTTTCTTTTATCATGATTATTATGAAACTTTCAGTTATTATTATTTTTATTTATATCTATAGCCGACTTTCTGCGAAGGGTTAATTTCCTTTTGGATAATTTTTGTTTTGGATAAACATTGATTTTTTTTTTTACTCATACTGTACATTCCTGAAATTATACCTTCAAAGTGATTTCTAACCAATATAAAATCCTACTGTAATAGAATACTCCTAAGGGAAATTGAAATTGAAATCTGAGAGAAAATTGTAAAATATATGTGGCTATTATTTCCCATTGCTGTGCACATGAAAGGTCATAACCAAAAGCACACTTAAGACAGGAAACAGTTACGACAAGCTCGCCCAAAAAACACTGGAAATTTATTGCATTGGCGGTATAAAGAAGGGAACAATAGAGACCAAATGTAATATTAAATCCTTTAATGAAAACTCATAAAAAGTAGGCATTCAATATTTCTTAAATGGCGGTGCAACATTAATAACATTCATGCATAAAGATATCGAGTGTTCTCGTAAATAACCGGGTTGCTAAGTTACAACATTAACGCGTGTGAGTATAATGAAGTGAGAAAAGAAAAATCGAGATCATTAATTTCATGTAATAGCAGAACATTTCGTCAAACATTGTGAAGAACATTTCGATCAACAAAGTAAATGTAACATTTGTTTTTTACGAGGAGATGATTGAACTACTTACACTTCGAGTTATTAGAATAACTTTGATTTTCCTGGGCTCATATAAGTAATAGTTTCTAGGCCTGCTTTAATCATCTGTTCCTGACACAGCCAGTGACTGGCAGAGTTAGAATCGGCTCTACACTTTGTGAAATTTAGTTTAACGTGTCAAATTAGACACTTAAAGGTACTATGTCCCATTTGCAGGCCCAAAAAATGAAAAGTATAATTCCAACGGCATTTGAAAGATAATACTAATTTAGAACTTCCCTAAAAAAGGTGGGGCTTGAAAATGTCTTCAAGTGGGAAAATAACGACTATTAGTTGTCAAATCGACTTAGGAGCTATAGAGCCAATAAGTAATAGTCTTGATTTTCAGACCACAGTACCGAATTGTCATACGTTTTATGATGCGCAAAGATTCAATCAGTTTAATTCTGGCCATCTCAAGAAGTGAGTTATTGATTTAGACAAATGCTCATGTACCCTTTACAGCTCATTTTATGTATGTTATTACCAAAGAAGAAAAAAAAGCCAGTTAGTCACTCAATAGTGTCTGACAATGAAGTCTAGCAAGTAAACGGGTTACCTTGCATAATTTGAATATTAGGACACTGCTAACGTTTAAATTACACAGATAGGACATACATGACATATTCATAATTCCTGCAAAGTTCTACAGAATTTGAGGTTGGCTGCAAAAGGGACATAGTACCTTTAATATGGGGGAGATTTATCATGTTAGCTTGCTAGTATCTAGTCAAGTGTTTTTTGTTTAATGATTGTGACTGAAGAGGCCTAGGCAGAGGGTGGCATTAATTATCAATCGACATTATTGCTCCGTGCTTTATTTCATCAAAGGATTATTTGATGAACTTCTGGCCAAAGGCACTGAACCCGATTTTGATCTTTCTACGAAGTACAATTTACATAACGCCTATGATTAATATCGATCGAGTGATGACGGTCATTACTGGCACGACGGCCACCGCCACCATCAGTTAAACCACATCAACCACCTAACCACTACCACCACTGCCGCTACCATCACTCTTACTACTACCACCTCCACCACCGCCACTACCACCAACGACAGCAACAACACCCCCCTCCCTAAATGATGGCAGCTATCACTACCATCACCACCACCAACCACACACCACCAACACCATCGCCGCCACCATTAGATAAACCATCATAATCACCACCACCATCACCCTGACTACCACCACCACCACCACCACAACCACCACCACAGCCAACAACAAAAAAGAACCCAAATCACAACCACCCACTCTAGTTATCACCACCATCACCATCACCATCATTATTACTAGACCTATCACTAGTAATATCACAAAATACCACCAGCATCACTTTTTGCCATCATGAGCTCTTCAGATTCTAAATTTTCAACGCAAAAATTACACATTTGTAGTGAAAATAACTGAAATTACATAATCGGGCACCTCCTAGCCGAATAATGATATTTGGCATCCAATTTGAGGATATCTGTTTGAATTTGAGTTGGTGGTTGCCCAAATAACGGAATGTTAAAAATCCCGATGGAGGCTACAGCCCCCTACCAACAACACCACCAGTCATCTCCACTATCACCACCACTACTATCATCACTACCAAAATACCACCACCACCACTGCATTTATTGCGATAGCAAAGTTAAAATTTGTCTTGTCCTCATGTTTTATTTCGTGTACAACGAAGAGGTTTGAGGTTCATATCTACTGTAGATTAAAATCCCATTTCAACCTCTGTCCATAATGATGCTTCTTCGGCTTCACAGATTTGTCTTTCAGCAGCACCAAGCTATCGAGTGTCTTGCAGAATACTGAGTATAAAACCGATATAAAGAGTCACATAGATGTCAAATATTTCCAGCGATCATTATCTACGTCTTTAAAGAACACATAAAACAGTAAAGCACAGGTAGTATTTTAAGTATATATAGACCTACCATGCAATGTGTTTAAAATTGCCTGTCTGAATTCCTTGTTAAAGATAAATGGTGGAATATTGTAAAGCACCAGTGGTAGTTGAACTATCCTAATTTACAGCGCAGTATTTTCCCGAAAGCCTGTCTGAATTCCTTGTTGAATATGGTATAGATGATCGGGTTGGCAGCACTATTCGCATAACCCATAAAAGTCAAAACCTGGAGCGGGAATGATTGAGGATCGCAGGAGGTGCAGACAGAAGCCACCGAAATGGCCACAAAGAAAGGCATCCAACAGACGGTGAAGACTCCTATCACTATGGCAACCGTGCGAGCAGCTTTTCTTTCCCGCCTAACGGAGATCTTGTTGGTGATGGGTTTACCAAACTCTGGCTGCTGTACACCGCTTGGAGTCGGTCTTGCAGCTACCGAGACTGCGTCGTCATTGATTCGGCTATCACAAGCTTTCGTTACAGCTAGTGATGTTGGCCTCTTGACAGCGCTCTGCTGTCTACGGGTCGGATCACTTCCGGTGCCTTCTGAAGCGGTTCCGGGACCTTGGCCCACGCGCGTTGCGAGTTTCTTGGCAATTCCGAAGATGCGCGTATGCGTATAGAGCACTACGGCCAGAGGCAGGAAGAATCCTATTGTGGTTGCAGGGATGATGAAGTACGGATTGAGCTGGAGGTAACACATGCCGTCATGGAATGCGGCAAAATAGAACGGAGGGACGCCGACCAGAAGCGAAAGCAACCAGGCCGCGGCGATTTGCTTGTAAGCCATCCGGTTGGTGCGCTTCAGAGAGTACTTCAGCGGGTTCTTGATAGAGCGGTACCGGTCGATGGAAATCGCTGCCAGATTGAAGATAGAGATGGTCACGAAGAGGACATCCCCTGCAATCCAGAACCTGCAGAGGATCTCCCCAAGGTACCATGCCTTGTAGTAGGCTTCCTGGACCGAGAAGGGCAAGATTACCAGAGATACGGTGAAATCGGCTGTTGCAAGCGACAGTACGAACTGGTTGGATACTGTCCTCAAGGTATGAAACGTTCCAATGGCAACGAAGACCATGCCATTACCAATGATGCCAGTTATCATGATGATAACGTAAATGGTTACCTTGGTAGCCGTTCCTGCTGTCATCAGGATATCCGTATCCGTGGAATTGATAGGTTTTTCCATTGTAAGATGCTCAGTATATTTAAGAAAATTAATGCCAACTAATCTTTTTTTAAAGGTCTTAGATAAAAACCAAAACCATTTACGATTAAACAGATTACGATGTCAACTCTGACTACAAAAGGGGCGTGAAAGCATTGTCGAACAATGAAAGATGCCGATATATATTCCATCTGAAATCAAAGGTCTACGATTGATTCCTTTTAATCAAAATAATCCACTTTTTGCCTTTGCATGTTGGAGACAAATCAAATTATTTGTTCGGAGCAGATAACCGATTACTCTCCACGTTAAAGAGTGCTACATGTCACTGAATCATCTCAACATTATCGAGTTATTGAATAAGCGTCTAAAATTCGTAATCCTGAGAGTTTCTAGGATATGTAACTGTCAACCTTTCAGCTCAAGCATGGAGAAGAGATGGATATTACTCCGAAGAGATATCTGTCATTTATCATTTTTATCCACAAGCAAGAACGAAGAAATAGGATGGCTGTGATTGTCCGTAAAAATGAACACACCTTTATGAGTTTGTTATTATATCTGCCAAAGTTTGGCTAAAATTGTTTCACCTTGCGAACGATTTTTAAAATATAATTTTGACCCAAGCTATGATGAAACTGCACAGTGTCTTTTCCGCTTGGCCAAATGAAAGCGCATCAAAACTCTTCAAACGTTAACGATCGAAATATTGAGACTGCTCGTGAAATGACGCACAATCGTATGCGCATGCATGTGCACAGATCAGAGTATATCGTCTTAATGTCTATTAAAGTGGCTGGAGAAGTGTGTGTGTGTGCGTGTGTGTGGTGGTGTGTGTGTGCGTGTGTGTGTGTGTGTGTGTGTGTGTGGAGGGGGGGGGGTAAGTAATGTGATGAGTAGTGGAGTAGCCCGTGTCTCCAGTCATTGAGGGGACACTGACTGTCGTTAGAGGAGGGTGTGTGTGCGTGTGTGTGTGTGTGTGTGTGTGAGGGGGGGGGGAGGGGGGGGGGGGGAGAGGGGTCGTGGTTCTCATACCACGACGATAGCATGAGTGCGACAAAGCAAATCGACCGGTAGGGTACCTGTACAAAATATTTCTTTTCCCTTTTCCTTTCGATTGGGGCACG